TAAGCATGAACAGGCCCTTTAAAATCAATTCACAGAAAAGGGAAAAAATAATTGCTGTAAAAAGAAATTTCCCCAATTAAAGTGTTTTTCAAAAACCCGGGGCCCCGCATTTCACTATTCTGGTTCCCCCCCGGACCCCCCCATTCACTATACCGGTCCCTCCGGACCCTGCATTAAATATACCGGTCCCCCCAGACCCTGCTTCACTAAAAACTTTGGGCTCTCCGGACCCCGCATTCACTATATCTGGTTCCCCTCCGGAAACCCCGCAAAATTTTCCCCATATCTGGGCCCCAGGACCCGCATTCATATACGGGCTCCCCCCGGGCCCCCGCATTCCCCTATAACTGGGGCTCCCGCAAACCCTTTCCCTTCACCTATCTGGGTTTTCCCCCGGAAACCCGCATTCACTAAATCTGGCCCCGGACCCTGATTCCCCATTTTGGGCTCCCCCGGGCCCTTCATTCACATATCGGGCTCCCCGGCCCCGGGATTACTAAGCATTTCACTTTAATACGGTCTCCCCGGACCCTGCATTCACTATATCCGGTCTCCCTGGACCCTGCATTCCCCATATCGGTCTCTCCCCGGACCCTGCATTCGCTATTCTTGGTCTCCCCGTACCCCTGAATCCACTATATCTGGCCTCCCCGGACCCTGCATCACTATATCTGGTCTCCCCGGACCCTGTATTCACTAGATCTTGTTTTCCCGGACCCTGCATATCCCTATCATCTCTCCCCAGGACCCTGCATAATCACTATATCTGGTCTACCCGGACCCTGCATTCACTATATCCGGTCTCCCCGGACCCTGCATTCACTATATCCGGGTCTCCCCGGACCCCGCGTTCCCTATATCCGGTCTCCCCTGACCCGCATTCACTATTATCTGGTCTCCCCGGAACCCTGCATTCACTATATCCGGTCTCCCCGGACCCCGCATTCACTATATCCGGTCTCTCCGCAGGACCCTGCATTAACTATAATCCGGTCTCCCTGGACCCTGCATTAACTATATCCGGTCTCCCCAGACCTGCATTCACTATATCTGGTCTCTCCGGACCCCGCATTCACTATATCTGGTCTCTCCGGGACCCTGCATTCACTATATCTGGTCTCCCAGGACCCTGCATTCACTATATCTGGTCTCCCCGAACCCTGCATTCACTATAACTGGTCTCCCTGCACCTTGCATTCACCATATCCGGTCTCCCCGGACCCTGCATTCACTATATCTGGTCTCCCTGGACCCTGCATTCACTATGTCTGGTCTCCCCGGACCCTGCATTCACTATATCTGGTCTCCCCGGACCCTGCATTCACTATATCTGGTCTCCCCAGACCCTGCATTCACTATATCTTGAAACTCCCAGACCCTGCATTCGCTATATCCGGTCTCCCCGGACCCTGCATTTGCTATATCCGGTCTCCCCGGACCCTGCTTTCACTATATACGGTCTCCCCGGACCCTGCATTCACTATATCCGGTCTCCCTGGACCCTGCATTCCCCATATCCGGTCTCCCCGGACCCCGCGTTCCCTATATACGGTCTCCCTGGACCCTGCATTCACTATATCCGGTCTCCCGACCCTGCATTCACTATATCGGTCTCCCGGGACCCTGCATTCACTATATCCGGTCTCCCTGGACCCTGTATTCACTATATCTGGTCTCCCCGGACCCTGCATTCACTATATCTGGTCTCCCAGGACCCTGCATTCACTATATCTGGTCTCCCCGAACCCTGCATTCACTATAACTGGTCTCCCTGCACCTTGCATTCACCATATCCGGTCTCCCCCGGACCCTGCATTCACTATATCTGGTCATTCCCTGGACCCTGCAATTCACTATGTCTTGGTCTCCCCCGGACCCTGCATTCACTATATCTGGTCTCCCCGGACCCTGCATTCACTATATCTGGTCTCCCCAGACCCTGCATTCACTATATCTGAACTCCCCAGACCCTGCATTCGCTATATCCGGTCTCCCCGGACCCTGCATTTGCTATATCCGGTCTCCCCGGACCCTGCATTCACTATATACGGTCTCCCCGGACCCTGCATTCACTATATCCGGTCTCCCTGGACCCTGCATTCCCCATATCCGGTCTCCCCGGACCCGCGCGTTTCCTATATACGGTCTCCCTGGACCCTGCATTCACTATATCCGGTCTCCCCGGACCCTGCATTTCACTATATCCGGTCTCCCGGGACCCTGCATTCACTATATCCGGTCTCCCTGGACCCTGTATTCACTATATCTGGTCTCCCCGGACCCTGCATTCAGTATATCTGGTCTCCCACACTACACACAACATGGAAATACAATTATTTTAGTAAATATAAACTGCTAAATACCTTTCCTCATCAGCAGAGTCCAACAGAGTCCATCAGTGTCCAGCCGAGCACTGGTTAAAGCTTGCAGGAGGAGTTTTCATTATGCACTAGGAACATGCAGCATCTCTGATTGGACAATGCTGTACTGATCATATGCAAGCTCCCAAGAAAAAAAACAAACCTCTCTAGCAATACACACCAAACTGAGCATGTGCATAGTGACTCCACACTTATCGGAATCCAGAAGCCTCCTTTAACAAGGGGGCCCCCAGATACCTGCCCCCCCATGTGAATGAGTAGGGGTACACAATACCCCTACTCATTCACCCAAAAAAGTGTAAATGTAAACACAGGAGGCAGTCCTTTATTTAACTGCATCCCCACTACCTATAGCAGAAATTCTGCTACAGGGCAGCACGGGTGTGCAAAATCACGTATATATACACATGATTTTGCATTTTCAGGTAGGGGGGCGCATGCGCGCCGCACGCACGCCCTACCTGTGCCTCCATTCGCGGCCCTGGCTATCAATCACCGGGTCACGGCCGGTAATTACTCGCCGGCGCCCGGTGATTTCCAAAGATCGCTGATGGGAGGAAGACTGCTTTGTTTACTAACAGTCCTCCTCCGTCAGCTCCGTCACACTGCACAGCACAGCCATCCAAAGCAGTAGGATTACCGTAAAACACACACAACCCGCCCCCTAGTAAAACACTCCCAGCACACAGTTAACCCTTTGATCACCCAGATGTTAACCTCTTTTCCTGACCAGTGCTATTACTACAGTGTCAGAGCTTTTTTTTTTTTAGCACTGATCACTGTATTGGTGTCACTGGGGATATCAGTGACACCAAGTAAGTTCCCCACAGTGCCAGACTGTCGGCCGTAGTCCCGCTATAAGTCACTGATCGCCGCCATTGCTAGTAAAAGTTAAAAATAAAATTCCAGTATCTATACCGCCATTTGTAAACGCTAATACCTTTCATGTAACCAATTAATTTACACATATTGGGATTTTGTTCAGCAAAGACATGGAGCAGAACACATTTTGGCCTAAATTTGTGACGAAATTAGATTTTTTAAAAATTTTTTTACTGGACATGTTTAATAGCAAAAAGTCAAAAATATTGTTTTCTCTCAAAATTCCTCGGCCTTTTTTTTTTAAAGCGCAAACACTAAAAAAAATGCGCAGGCGATCAAATACAACGAAAGAAAGCTCAACTCGTGGGGAAAAAAAGGATGTAAATTTAATTTGGGTTGCAGCGTTGCATGACCGCGCAATTGTCAGGTAAAGTATTGCAGCGCCGTAACGCAAAAAATGGCCTGGTCAGGAAGGGGGGTAAATCCTCTGGAGGGTGAGGGGTTTAAAGTGGAAATCCAGACACAGACAGCAATAAAAGCTTACAAATGTCTAACACTCTCTTGCACAGAGATCTATCATGTTCAACTACAATGTTTTGACTGGAGTTCTACTTTAAATCTGGAATGTATTATTTTATTTATTACAGTACTTATATAGCGCCATCAATTTACATATATATTGTACATTCACATCAGTCCCTAACCCTCAAGGGGGTGTACAATCTAAGGTTTCCTAACCCTCAAGGGGTGTACAATCTAAGGTCCCTAACCCTCAAAGGGGCGTACAATCTAAGGTCCCTAACCCTCAAGGGGCGTACAATCTAAGGTCCCTAACCCTCAAGGGGTGTACAATCTAAGGTCCCTAACCCTCAAGGGGTGTACAATCTAAGGTCCCTAACCCTCAAGGGGTGTACAATCTAAGGTCCCTAACTCACATTCATACATACACATACTAGGGACAATTTAGACAGGAGCCAATTACCCTACCAGCATGTCTTTTTTGGAGTGTGGGAGGAAACCGGAGTATCCGGAGGGGAAACCCACGCAGTCACAGGGAGAACATGCAAAACTCCAGGCAGGTGGTGCCATGGTTGGGATTTCTACCAATGACCCTTGTGCTGCCAGGTGGAAGTACTAATCACTGAGCCACTGTGCTGCCCCCAGTATTGAAAATAACTTTAGAATATCAATTAAAAATCTATCCAGTGAATGTTTTTTTAATAAATAATACATTTCAATATATTGGAACATCACTAAGATGCAGTATAATCAGCTGAAGCTATTAATAGTGATGAGGTAAAAAACAGGAAGAAGAGAAAAATACATCAAATAAATAAATAAATAAATAAAAAAATTGTCCCCAAGTGAAGATCCAAATCAATCACGATAATCACGACCATTATTCACGGTGAGCTGTAAATCGATGACTTGTAGGGGATTTTATAGCACTGCCTATGGAACATTTAGCGTGCCAACAGTCGTCTCCGTTTCACAGGAACACACCATTTTAAAGTTTGACATGTTGGGTATATATTTACTCACTTGACATGTTGGGTATCTATTTACTCACTTGACATGGTTGGGTGACATGTTGGGTATCTATTTACTCAGGTGACATGTTGGGTGACATGTTGGGTATATATTTACTCAGTTGACATGTTGGGTGACATGTTGGGTATCTATTTACTCAGGTGACATGTTGGGTATCTATTTTACTCAGCTGACACGTTGGGTGACATGTTGGGTATATTTTACTCAGGTGACATGTTGGGTATCTATTTACTCAGTTGACATGTTGGGTATCTATTTACTCAGGTGACATGTTGGGTATCTATTTACTCAGTTGACATGTTGGGTGACATGTTGGGTATCTATTTACTCAGGTGACATGTTGGGTATCTATTTACTCAGTTGACATGTTGGGTGACATGTTGGGTATCTATTTACTCAGGTGACATGTTGGGTATCTATTTTACTCAGTTGACACGTTGGGTGACATGTTGGGTATATATTTACTCAGGTGACATGTTGGGTATCTATTTACTCAGTTGACATGTTGGGTGACATGTTGGGTATCTATTTACTTAGGTAACATGTTGGGTATCTCTATTTACTCAGGTGACATTGTTGGGTATCTATTTACTCAGTTGACATGTTGGGTGACATGTTGGGGTATCTATTTACTCAGGTGACATGTTGGGTATCTATTTACTCAGTTGACACGTTGGGTGACATGTTGGTATATATTTACTCAGGTTGACATGTTGGGGTATCTATTTACTCAGTGACATGTTGGTGTTCATGTTGGGTGGAACATTTTGGGTATCTATTATACTGTGGTTGGGGTAGTCTATTTAATCAGTTTGACATGATTGGGTAACATGTTGGGTGTGGTACTATTTACTCAGGTGACATGTTGGGTATCTATTTACTCAGTTGACAGTTGGGTGACATGTTGGGATCTATTTACCAGTGAATGTTGGGGATTATTTACTCAGGGGACATGTTTTGGGGACCCATTTACCTACTTTATTGAAAATTTTTGGGTGACATGCTGGGT